GGTCCTATCTGAATTTGAATTTTTTGATTACTTGTAAATTTAAATATATTTATATATTTATTGAAATTTGTATTTCCTTAAGGTTTCTGTCCTTTATCTTCCTGTTGTTTCATCATTTTCCTATTTGTAGAAGGAATCTGTTTAGACACATAATTTTAGAAAAAATATTTAAGAAAAGAATTGACTGTCATTTCTCATGACAATTTGTGTGTCATATCATGGTTCAACTTATGTAGCTAAGTCACAAATTATTCTTGAATAAAAATAAAATACATTCTTCTCGGCCTTTTGGCTAAAATCAAGTGTAAAAAGAAAACACATAACAGACTTAATAGTCTAGGAAGAGGGATTATGACCACTTAGTCTGATATCTCACTGGTAAGTGAAAAAAATGCTACAAGTAGGCAGTTATGATTTTAAATTATGAATTTCTTAAATATTATATATTGTTTATATTTACCTTCATTGCATATGCTTTGGAGATCTTATTTCCAAACGTTTGAGAAAAATGAAACTCGTTTCACACAAAAATGAGTAACACTGGTTTCCTTGGAGAGTGGAAAAGGTAGGTAGGGAAGGCTGAGGGACAGGGGTGAGACGAAAAATAATTTTAATTAAGTTATCTGTGAGGCATAGAGTTGGGGGAAGATTGAGACAAAGAAATGGAGAGAGAGAGAGAGAAGAGAGAATGAGAATGAGAATGAGAATGAGAATGAGAATGAGAATGAGCTCCCATCTACTGATTCACTTCCCAAATGCCTGCAATGCCTGGGACTGGGCCAGGTGAAGCTGGGAGTCTGGAACTCAATCCAGGTCTCTACATGGGCAGCAGGGATCCAACTACTCAGTTATCATCTCTGCCTCCCATGTCTGCATTAGTTTATAGCCGACATAGCTCCACATGGGACTCCCATAGTAAAGTCTGGGAAAAGACAGGAGGAAATGGCAATTCTGCCAATCTTGGTGATACCCAGAGTTAGATCTAACAAGGACTTTGTGATCCACAGAGTAGATATTAAATATATGATTTGGTGGGAAAGGTGGGTAGGTGTGTGTGTGTGTGTGTGTGTGTGTGTAGAGATGGCCAGAAAAAAAGAGAACAGAAGAAAAGCTATGAAAGCTATGAATGAAAATAGAAAAGACATCACTAACTTGAAATTAGAATTAGGGTACTTAAGTGGCACCATTACCAAAGTTGGCTCCACAGATGGAGTTATTCCTGTATAGCAAGTAGTTATAGTTAGTTTGCATTTTGATCTAGAAATAACTTTTTCATTTTCCAGAATTCTCAGTGAAAACTACTTGACTGAATTACATAAGGATTCATTTGAAGGCTTGCTATCCCTCCAATATTTGTAAGTTGTTTCATCATATTTCTTTATGAGATTTTAGTTATATTATCCATAAAATGAATAAGGGGTTCAAACCAGATCATCTCTGAAGTTTCTTCCAGTAATAAATTCTGCAATTCTGTAAGTCTGTGTGGGTCTCATGCATTGAATGCCTACTATGCAGTTTGTAGTTTTAAAATTATATAGACAAGACTCAGATAGAAAAAACTTTACTTATAGAGGAAAGTGGTGATAAGATCTTGATTCATTATTGACATGCATATGGACTTTGTGGTGTAAGTATTTATATTCTGTGTGTTTATATTTGTACTTAATCTACAACCCATGGATCAAATCCTATCCAGGTCTGTATTTATACAGCCCCTAATTTAGGAATGATTTTACATTTATCAAAGGTTGTAAAAGAAAAAGGAAAACAACAACAAAGGAGCAAGGAAGAAAATGCAAGAGTGGCCCACTTAGCTTCAAACATTTTCCATCTGGCCTTTATAAAAAAAATTTGAAAAAGTTGGTTTAGTAGAACAAAAGTAATTAAAATTAACCTTAGATTTTTGCCTAAAGGAGAAGAAATATAGACCACCAACATTAAGTTGAATTCCATTAACTCACAACTGTTTGACAATTAAATCTGAATTAGACTAAGTTTTAAATAATAAATAGCTAAAAGATAAATTATATGAATAATGTTATCAAGAAGTTTAAAGTACCAGGAGAACAAGTTGGTATTAAGGATTTCCTTTTTTTTTAACTTTTATTTAATGAATATAAATTTCCAAAGTACAGCTTATGGATTACAATGGCTCCCCCCCCCATAACTTCCCTCCCACCCACAACCCTCCCCTTTCCCGCTTCCTCTCCCCTTCCATTCACATCAAGATTCATTTTCAATTCTCTTTATATACAGAAGATCAGTTTAGCATATATTAAGTAAAGATTTCAACAGTTTGCACCCACATAGAAACACAAAGTGAAAAATACTGTTTGAGTACTAGTTATAGCATTAAATCACAATGTATAGCACATTAAGGACAGAGATCCTACAATGGGAGTAAGTGCACAGTGACTCCTGTTGTTGACTTAACAAATTGACACTCTTGTTTATGGCATCAGTAATCACCCTAGGCTCTTGTTATGAATTGCCAAAGCTATGGAAGCCTTTTGAGTTCACCAACTCTGATCATATTTAGACAAGGTCGTAGTCAAAGTGGAAGTTCTCTGCTCCCTTCAGAGAAAGGTACCTCCTTCTTTGATGATCTGTTCTTTCCACTGGGATCTCACTCACAGAGATCTTTCATTTAGGCCTTTCTTTTTTTTTTTTTTTTTTTTTTTTTTTTTTGCCAGAGTGTCTTGGCTTTCCATGCCTGAAATACTCTCATGGGCTTTCCAGCCGGATCCGCATGCCTTAAGGGCTGATTCTGAGGCCAGAGTACTGTTTAGGACATCTGCCATTCTATGAGTCTGCTGTGTATCTCGCTTCCCATGTTGGATCATTCTCTCCATTTTTTATTCTATCAGTTAGTAGACAAAGGATTTCAATGTAGGAATTGTTATACTGAATTAAAAATAGATGTTTGAAATGATGGCTGGGTGGTATAGTGGTAGACACATCATTAATCCTTATTATGCTGATTATTGGTACTCATTAGTAAATAGAGTTGTCTTTGAAATGTACAAGGCATAAAGAAAGTAGGTAGAAAGAGCCTTATAGAACACTAATGAAAAGCCTTTGAATGATCAAACCTTCTAGGCCTTAAGGGGACAACTACTTCTGTACTGGTTGTCTTGGGCACATTGGCCATCTGAGCTCCCAAACCTTACAAATGTGATCTGGAGAAAAACAAATGAGATAACTGCTCAGGAGAGTAGGACTTCATTGTTTCTATTACGGACGCTTTTATAGGTGAATTATATGATAGCATATATATTCTTATCATTTTTAAGAAGCCAATAAATTTTTAAAAGCTGAAGTAGAATGCCAGGCATTTTACCCAGTACTGGAGGCACAGAAATGAGGAAGGCAGGGCCAGCGCCACGGCTCACTAGGCTAATCCTCCGCCTGCGACGCCGGCACCCCAGGTTCTGGTCCTGGTCGGGGTGCCGGATTCTGGCCCAGCTGCTCCTCTTCCAGTCCAGTTCTCTGCTGTGGCCCGGGAAGGCAGTGGAGGATGGCCCAAGTGCTTGGGCCCTGCACCCGCATGGGAGACCAGGAGGAAGCACCTGGCTCCTGGCTTCAGATCGGCACAGTGCACCGGCCTTAGCAGCCATTTGGGGAGTGAACCAATGGAAGGAAGACCTTTCTCTCTGTCTCTCTCTCTCTCACTGTCTAACTCTGCCTGTAAAAAAAAAAAAAAAAAAAAAAGAGGAAGGCAGGATTCCTACTCTTCTAGGAACTCATGATCTTACAGGGGAGACAAACACATAAAGCAAACCGTGATCCAACAAGCTCTAAGCAGATGTCCAAAGGCAGCGGAGAGGCCATGAAGTAATAAAACCACATTCCTTTAAAAATAGTCACTTTTTCCTTCTTCTACTCACTTCTTAGTTATTCATTTATTTCACAAATATCTGAGTTAGCTTTATTTCCACAAGCTAGGTTTTTTAAAAGCATTTATATGGAAGGCAGAGCAAGAGAGAGAGAGGACAAGAGGAAGGGCGGGGGAGAGAGAGAGAGCGAGCGAGGGAGAGAGAGAGCTCTTCCATCCTCTGGTTCACTCCCCAAATGGCTATAATAGTCATATCTGGGGCAGACCAAAGCCATGAGCCAGGAACTCCATCCTGGTCTTCCACATGGATGGCAGGGGACCAAGTACTTGGGTCACCTGCTGCTTTCCCAGGTGCATTAGTAGGGAGCTGATCAGAAGCACAGCAGCTGGGACTCGAACTGGCATGGTAGTTTAATCCAGTGTGCACAATGTCAGTCCCTCCATGAGTCAGTTTTTTTTTAAAGATTAACTTTATTTATTTGAAAGACAGAGTTACAGAGAGAGGTAGAGATAGAGAGAGAGGTCTTCCATCCACTGGTTCACTCCCCAGATGGCCACAATGGCCGGAGCTGTGCCAATCCGAAGCCAGGAGCCAGGAGCTTCTTCCAGGTCTCCCATGTGGGTGCAGGGGCCAAAGGACTTGGGCCATCTTCCACTGCTATCCCAGGCCACAACAGAGAGCTGGATAGGAAGAGGAGCATCCAGGACTCGAACCAGCACCCATATGGGATGCCAGCACTTCAGGCCAGGGCATTAATCTGCTGTGCCACAGCACTGGCCCCATGAGTCAGTTTTAAACATGGTGGGCAATGCAGATTAACAAGGCCAAGTCTATGCTTTCAAGTTTATTCTTTGAAGAAATGGGTGATACAAGAGTCAAAATATTTAAAAGAAATGGATATTCACACTAAGAGGCATAAATTGTTTCTGGAGCACAGAAGAGGGAGAAGAGACTTTAAATTGGATCAGGGAGAATGTTGCTCTAGCAACAGGACTTTGTAGTGTCATGGTGTATCATCAGACATCATGGGGAGAATATTCTAAGCTTGCAGAAGGAAAGTGGGAGAAAGGCAAAACACAGGAGAGTGTTTGAAGAATGCCATGAGTATCTGTAGAGTACAAGAAGGGAAAGGAGGAACTTGAAGCCACATCTTCCAGGGCTTTGAATGCCAAGCAAAGGAGCCACCATGGTGAGCCATGTTATCACAGCAGTGCTCAGAAACAAACTTGAGCCTGCATCAGAATTACTTGGAGGGTTTGTTTGGTTTGTTAGAACTTGGTTCTGATTTCCACCTCAACAGTTACTGATTGATTGAGTTGGTCTAGAGAAGGGCTGAGAATTTGCATCTTCATTCCTACCTGATGCTGGTCTTTGAGAACCACTTCTGGAGAGTTCAACTGGTGACTGTGTATAGGATGCTTTAGAAAAGGAGATTAGGGGCTGGTGTTGTGGCACAGCAGTTAAGCCACCACTTATGACACAGACATCCCATAACAGTGCTGGTTTGAATCCTGGCTACTCTGTTTCTGATTCAGCTTCCTGCTAAGGTGCCTTGGAAGGCAGCAGAAGGTAGTTTAAGTAGTTAGGCCCCTGCCACCCATGTGGGAGACTAGAATGGATTCCCTAGCTCTTGGCTTCGGTCTGGCCCATACCTGGCTGTTCCAGCCATTTGGGGAGTGAACCAGGGGATGGAAGATCGGTCTCTCCCTCTCTCTCTCCCTTTTAAATAAATAAAATAATTTTTTTAATAAAAAAGAGAGACTAGAGACTCAACAGAGGCCAGGCACAACCATCCAAGTGAAAAGGGAGTGGCAAGCTGGAATCAAATGGAAATAACAGTCAACTACAGTCACAAGTGGTTATTTTCAAATAAGAATCCAGTTCCCTCTGTTTTCTGTTCTACCACTTAACAACAGAAGAAACTGCTTTCATGGAAAACCAAGGCAACATGAAACCAGAAATGGAGTTCTATTAAAATTATAGCAACTATAAATTCTGAATTCGCTCAAAATCATGTGTTAATTTGAGGAGTTACTTCCTTTCAAATGATTTGAAAGGCTACCTTTTATTTCATCTGATACTGAACTAGGTTAGAAAACCAAAACTATACCAGGAAGGTGTAAAGATGTGAGGATATTCATTTAAATGTTAGAACTTACAGAGGGAGATTAAAAACTGAGCTCATAATCTTGAATTTGATAAGATTATGAAAGGTCATCTAATAATTTCTCCTGCTATCAGGAAAGTTTGCCTTCAAAACCTATCAAGATCTATAGCTTGACAGTATATTTTGCTTGTGAAGAGCATGAAGGTTAGACTATTAGAAGAGGTTGCAAGTAGGATTAAGGGTTCTGGAAATTTCAAATAAGAAGTCTGAAGGTTTAGAGTTCAGACAAAAGTACAGACTCAACATCATCAGTTCTAAATCCTGTTTATGCCTATTGAGTAGAGATCCAATAAACAATCAAGGCAACATTTCCTTTTTACTTTTCCTAGGGATTTATCCTGCAATAAAATACAATCTATTGAAAGACGTACATTTGAACCACTCCCTTTCTTGCAGTTTATGTAAGTTATAATTGCATTATATTTGGAATTATAATAAATCCTTTTTAAAGATTTATTTATCGAAAAGCATAGTTACAGAGAGAACAGAGAACAAGGGTGGGAGAGAGGGAGAGGGAGAGGGAGAGGGAGGGGGGAGAGAGAGAGAGAGAGAGATCTTTTATCTGCTGGTTTACTTCCCAAGTGGCCACAATGGTCAGGGCTTGTCCAGGACAAAGCCAGGAGCCAGGAGCTTCATCTGAGTCTCCCATGTGGGCACAGGGGGCCAAGCACTTGGGCCATCTTCTGCTGCTTTCCCAGTGCATTAACAGGGAGCTGAATTGGAAGTGGAGCAGTCAAGACTTGAACTGGTGCTCATAAGGGATGCCAGCATCTCAGGTGGCAGCTCAGTCTGCTGTGCCACAATGCTGGCCCCAATAAATCTTAATTGTAAACCCCCTTTTCATTAATTTTGACATATTATTAAAATTTTGCTTGTAGAATGTTACTAAGATTATCTAGCACATCCTTTCAGTCTCCAGCAGAGATAGTATGAGACACCCAGGACAGAGTGGTCATCACAGAGCAGTACACTCACTGCTGTGATTCTGCACCCACGTGGTATCCGGCAGCTGTGTACATGCTACTGGCATCCAGTGGGCCAAGGCCAGGGCGCTCCTCAGCCTCCTAACACATACAGGACAAACCCCCACAACAAGGAATTATCCGGCAAGTGCTCAAGTTACAAAATTTTGTTCTAGAGAAGAAAAGATCACTCAAAATAAGTATTTGTTGAGTGTAATTTGGTGTAAACGTTTGGTGTAAATGTGAAAGTGCAAATCAGAAGCCAGTGTCTTCCAACTGAGATAACTTTAGTGTGGGTGGTGATGTTTCATCTATATAAATTAGAACCACCACTGAAAGATAAATGTTCTGAAAGAATAACTTTCTTCTTGATTTGTGTCTTTTTTTTTTTTTTTTTTGTAGAAATCTTGGTTGCAATTTACTCACAGAACTGAGCTTTGGGACATTTCAGGCATGGCACGGAATGCAGTTTTTGCAGAAGATGTAAGTGAAATAGAAAACACATATTAAAGAACTGTTTATGTGTAAAACCCAATACAGTTAAGGCTAGCTGAGTGTAAACTCTAGAAAGTAAGCCTTAAGATCCATTTTTTTCAAATAAGGGAACCAAGGTACGAAGAGGCTGAGAAGTTGGTCTGACAGATGGCATGCTCTACTTTCCCAGTGCTGATCTTAGGCTTGGGCAAGAGAAGGCACCAAGCAAGTAGCACTCCCATTAGCACTGCACGAGAGCCCTGCGAGGCTGCTCGATACCCACGGCCCCGGAAATGCCACTTCTGAATTTAACTTTGATTGCTACTCACTCTGGGGAGCAAAAGGTGCCAGAACTTTCCTCAAGGTCAGGGCATTTCTCTCTCTCTAATCACCTAGATCCTGATTTTTCAAGAAGTATTTATCTCTGAAGTTTTGAATTATCTGTGGGCAGTAGGAACCTTTTTAGAAGGCAAATAGTGGTGTTTATATTAACCTGTGGTGTGAAGATAAGAAAACACATTGCTGTAGCCTGACTCCACATACATTCTGGGCACACTTCAACAAAAAGTGGGGTTTTTATCCCCTCTCAGCTCAACAATTCTGTGATGGTCATGGTCTGAAGAGGGGCTGATTTTAGATTCAAGATGAAGATTCTCCTCTAAGCTTGACTTTGGAAAAGAATATCAACCTGTACTGTGGTTCAGAAATCCAGTTTCACAGTTCATTTCGGGTTTGAGGAAGGGGTTTAGGACTGACTAGGGTTTTCTGCAGATTCTGGCTGTGTGGCCTCCTCTCTCCCTTCACTCATTCACTCATTTGCGGGGGCCTAACTTGGGGAAGAACACGGAAAGTCTATTTTTCCTTTGCCCACACATCAGAGAGCTCTCTCCCCTAGGCCCCTCCCCCGAGAGGTTTTGGAGGCACCAACAGAAATGGCTTCAACTCACCACCTTCACAACACAGTCACTGTTAAGGATCCAAGTTTCACCATGGTTATGAATAGACAAGAGTGGAGGGAAAACCCATGGAAGTACAGTACATAAACAATAATGAATCACTTGAAAACATTCATGAGTGCCAAGCCCACTGAATGCCAGGTGCTGCACTAAGTGCTGGGGATACAAATTGGAAGAGGACTGGAGCTTTGTTTCTAAGACTTTTTCATACCAGGAGGAAGAGCGATGTTGATAGAACAGGTGAGAGCCGTACTAGGATTTGTGCAGCAGGGTCAAAGAGAGGGGGTGATGAAGTAGGAGCAGGTGGGTAGGGATGACGCACAGTAGAGGAGGCACCAGTTTGTCTATCTCAGATTTCTGTGTTCAGCATAAGCACAAGACAGAGGCATTTGCTTCACAGAGCTAGCTGGTATAGGAAACTAATTCCTATACCACGTGATCTGAATGTGACTAACTCACAGCTGCTTTCAAAGAGTGGCACAATGGTCACAATACACCAAGTGTGTGTTGGGTGCTGGCCTCCTTTCTTTGGGGTCCCATAGTTTATTAAAGCTAATTTGCTTAGGAAACATTTGCCATTGTGAGATATAAACCTATTGTTTCACTTCTCAAAGGCCATTGTCCAGGGAGATGCCAGTAACTTTAGGACCAATATGACTGGGGTTTTATAAATTGAAACAATACTTTTCCTGCATTGCAAAAGGCCTAAAAAGTCCAGCTGAGGTGGATTTGCTGTGAGTTGAGTGGAGTCTAAGCTTCAAGGCTCTGCACTTGCAGAGGCCTCCTCCAAGGTCCTGGGAGGGGCCGTAGCAATTTTTTTTTTTTTTTTTTGACAGGCAGAGTGGATAGTGAGAGAGAGAGAGACAGAGAGAAAGGTCTTCCTTTGCCATTGGTTCACCCTCCAATGGCTGCCACGGTTGGCATGCTGCGGCCTGCGCACCACGCTGATCCGAAGGCAGGAGCCAGGTGCTTCTCCTGGTCTCCCATGGGGTGCAGGGCCCAAGCACTTGGGCCATCCTCCACTGCATTCCCAGGCCACAGCAGAGAGCTGGCCTGGAAGAGGGGCAACTGGGACAGAATCCAGCACCCCGACCGGGACTAGAACCCGGTGTGCCGGCGCCACAAGGCGGAGGATTAGCCTATTGAGCCTCAGCGCTGGCAGCAATTTTTATACTCATAATTTGCCATGTTTTATTACAGATTTCCCAAATTAGATAAGGTTCAGGCCCAGCAAACTCTGTCTTCACCCCAGTGTCGTGTACTCGCAGCCCAGTGCATCCCCTCTGGAACACCTGTGTTACTGACAGACGCTGACTGCACAGCGAGCAGTGTGGCGGCTCAGTCTGTCGTGAATCTGAAATCCACAGAGCTTCCTGGTGATGGGTCACCCTGAATCACTGTAATAATCAAACCTCAGCCGAAATCCAGAGTGAACTATACTATGGCAAACCAGCAGTGGCTGATAATTCTAAATATTAAGTAGACTTTTTTGTTGTTGCTTCATTCACCTGCACAAGTCCAGACTGATGGCTTAATTTTAAATTCCTTGTCACTTTGTTGTTTCTAACAATACAGGCCCCATAATTTTAGGAAGTAAAGGACTCTACAATGTAGAGAGGTGATGCCTCATTCAGATAGAGCAGATCCATATGCTGGATTGTCTTCAATACATCAATATTGTGCTAACAACACGAGCGTTAAGAGTGAATGAGAGGCCGGCGCCGCGGCTCACTAGGCTAATCCTCCGCCTAGCGGCGCCGGCACACCAGGTTCTAGTCCCGGTCGGGGCGCCGGATTCTGTCCCGGTTGCCCCTCTTCCAGGCCAGCTCTCTGCTGTGGCCAGGGAGTGCAGTGGAGGATGGCCCAGGTGCTTGGGCCCTGCACCCCATGGGAGACCAGGAAAAGCACCTGGCTCCTGGCTCCTGGCTCCTGCCATCGGATCAGCGCGGTGCGCCGGCCGCAGTGCGCCGGCCGCGGCGGCCATTGGAGGGTGAACCAACGGCAAAGGAAGACCTTTCTCTCTGTCTCTCTCTCTCACTGTCCACTCTGCCTGTCAAAAAAAAAAAAAAAAAAAGAGGAGTGAATGAGAGGGACCAGCATTGTGGAGCAGAAGGCTAATCCTCCTGTGTCACCAGCAACCCATATGGGCGCCGGTTCTAGTCCCGGCTGCTCCACTTCTGATCCAGCTCTCTGCCGTGGCCTGGGAAAGCAGAAGATTGCCCAGGTGCTTGGGCCCTTGCACTGGCAGGGGAGACCTGGCAGAAGCTCCTGGCTCTTGGCTTCGGATTGGCACAGCTCTGGCCATTGTGGCCATCTGGGGAGTGAACCAGCGGATGGAAGACCTTTCTGTCTCTCTCACTGTCTGTAACTCTACCTCTCAAATAAATAAATAAAATCTTTTTTTTTTTTTAAGAGTGAATGAGAGGCAAATCCAAGCTTTCTCCCTCTTGGATTATGGACTCAACTGTTCAGAGTATCAATAAGGTGTGTGTGTGTGTGTGTGTGTGTGTGGCCGGCAACAGCCTGATGGCTGGAGCACTATCATCGCTGTCCTTCAGGCACCTAAGTTCGCAGGCTACAGGGTGATGTCACCCCTTTTTGGTATGTCCTGGAATCCTAGCAGCTTGTTCTCAAACTTGGAGAGGCATAAACATTAAAGATGAAAAGAACAGCTCAGGTTTGCACTTTGGGGAGATTTAGGATGGCTGTTTAGTCATTTCTAGCAACTACTGTCTTTTCTTTTGCCAGCTGTACTGTATTCTTCTCCCCCATTTAACAAGGTGTCTTCTTTTCTCTCAAGCTTAATAATTCTTTCTCTGCTCCCTACATTTCTCTAATACCACCTTTATTAAGTGCTTATTATGTTCCAGACACTATATTCAGTTTGTACAACAGTGTCTGGCAAATGGTACACACATTGCTTTCTAGGGTAGTTCCATCTTTCCAACAACTCTTGCTATATAGATGTTATGATCCCTATGGATGAGGAAACTGAAACTCAGAGATATTGGGTAACTTGCCTAGTTTCACGTTGTTAATAAGTGGCACAACCACTTGTTAGTTTTGCCAGTAATTTTTTTTTTTAAAGATTTACTTGAAAGGCAGAGTTACAGATCTTCCAGAGAGAGATCTTCCATCCACTGGTTTACTCCTCAAATGGCCACAATGGCCAGAGCTAGGCCTGTCTGAAGCCAGGAGCCAGGAGCTTCTTCTAACACATGGGTTCAAGAGTCCATGCACTTGGGCCCTCCTCTGCTGCTTTCCCAGATGCATTAGCAGAGAACTGGATCAGAAGTGGAGCAGCCAGGACTTGAACCAGTGCCTGATGGGATGCTGGTGCTGCAGGCAGCAGTTTACCTGCTACACCACAGCATCGGCCCCCTACCAGTAATTTTCTATGCAACTCTTCAATCCCTTGTAACAGGAGCTGAATGATGACAATTTGGCTCTTTGTACATTGTATCTTGAACTTGGTTTCTACCTTGAACAGGGCCTTCGGGGCAGAGAGGTCCGTCTGTCTCAGAGAAGTCCACATTTCTAGAGCTCCAGTCCTTGACACCTCTAGGCATCCCCAGAGCTCATGTCTTAGCTCTTTCATCAAATTCTCACACTGCCTGGTGAGGTAAATGCTACAAAGCAGGCTCAGAGATCCTCGCTACCCAGGGATCCTGCCAGAAAGAGACAGAGCAGATTTCAAACCCAGGTCTGTCTGATTCCAGGGCCCTTGCATCCTCCATTGTTCCTCACTGGCAAGGACTCTTCTTCAAGACTCTTGTATTCTTAGAACTTGGATGAAAATGCAGGCTAATCATTTCAGATTCCTTAGACTCTGCCCCTGAGGAATGTGGTGCAGGTAGAGGTCTTCTCAAGGGGTGTCCTGGCTCATGGACCTACACAATGAAAAAAGGAAAAGGGTTACTCCATCCCCACGCACTTCAGACATACTGGAACACTGGATTACTCTGCTTATTTCTTTGACACCCGGGCTCTGAGGAACCCATTTTCCATGACTGCCTTGGGATTCTAGCATAGACAGTCTTGGAGTTTAAATTT